AAAAAAAAAAAAAAAAAGACACTAGTTTGTGATGATGTGTTACTGCAGCAATAGAAAATGAATTCACGTGGTTTAGAAGCCAAAAAGGAAATCACTTCGGGGCGGGGGAGGGGGGAGGGGGGAGGAGCCATCAGCTGTGTCAAAAGCTGTGCGAGGTTGAGAAGGAGGGCGACAGGTGTGAGCTCTGGACAGGGCAACACAGGGCTTGTTATCGACCTTGACAAGCAGTCTCAGCAGAGTGGTGAGGTCAGAGACCAGGCTGGAGTGGGTTGAGGAACAAAGGGCAGGGTGAGGAAGTGGGGCAGTGAACACAGACGACTCTGTTGTAAAGTTTGGTTGCGAAGGGAAGGAAGCAAATAGGCCGGTACTGCAGAAGGGTGTGGGTTCATCCAGGAGTTTTGTTTTCCTCGTCTTAGCGGGAGCCAGAGAGCTGGTTTGTTTGCTACAGGAATCAACCTGGTAGAGAGTAGTTAGGTTTGTAAGGGGGTGGGGGTGGGGCTCAGGAGCAAGGTCCTTGCGAGAGGGAGGGGCCTGACCCCGGGGACAAGTGAAGGGAGGAAAGAGCCGGAAGGAAAACAAAGACAAGCACAGGGGCAAGGCACGTCGTAGTGGTGTGAGCGTGTGTGGGGAGGGAGGTGTGTCGGAGGTTTAAGGAGACAGAAAAAGACACAGAATGGTTTCTCTTGGAATGTGGGAAGCCCCCTGAAGCCAGAAGGCGAGCAGCGTTGCTCCAGGCAGGAACTGGCCTTCGCTGTCTCTCTTCTGCCCCTGAGGCTGAGACTGTGACGGGTCTGTGGGGTCCAGGTTGGGCCCCAGGGTATGTTCCGTCCTAGACCTATAACCCTACGCAACTTTCTTAGTCGGCTGGAGCCTCCAGTTTCTTTAGCTTCTGCATTTTAATCAGGCGTGCCCCCCCTACTTCCTGCCAAGGAAAGAGCATCTGCCGAAGTGCTCCGTGGCCTGCCGAGCCCTGTATTTCTGGATGGGTGGGGTCCGTCCTATAGCACCGGGCCACCGTGGAGATCCCTCGAAGGCTGGAGATGCGTGCAGGGGAGGGCTCGGCAGCCTGAGACCACTCCCTCCCGAGGCGTGGGCAATTCTTTCCACCTCCACCCAGTCCTGAGAAAAACTCAGGCTTGAATTTGCTCTCCTGGTACCTGGAACAAAGAGAGTAATAATCTGGGTCGGGGCTTGCTCTCCGTGGGGAGCTCCCCCAGCCCTAATGTCTGCAGCTATCATCTGGCCCGTCCTGCCCTCCCGCTTGCTGAATGTCTGCTCTCCAGGATCGCCCCAGAGCGGCAGGAAGCACGCTAACTTCGGTTAGCTAACTGGGAGAGCTCTCTGCCGGGTCAGGACTTGTTGTGGAGGTGGTATGGAGAAGGGCTACTTTATAAAAAATTAAATACGCCTCACTGTGATGAAAGAGAGAGAACATTCTCCCAGTGGAAAGCAGGGATCAGAGAGCATGAAGACACCGTCCAAGGTCAGACACAGGTCAGCTGAGGAACTGTGAGTCCAAATCAGGTCTATTTGGCGCCAAGCTCATGTTTTTTCCCCACCATATAACACTGCCTTCCTGGATCCAACAAACCTGCCTGCTTCCAGGAAAGGGAAGAGGAGGGAAAGTACCAGAGGCATTTACAGAGTGCTTGCATACCAGGGGTCATGCGTCTGTTCTAGCCCTCTCTGCAGGAGGGGAGGGGGTTGGAAGGCACACCCCTGGGTGGCTGAGAGCCTCTCAGTGTAACACAGACAGAAGTGGTTTTGTGACCAACCCCTGGCGATCAGAGATCTATGGGAAACGGGTGTGCTCTGGCACGGAAGCTATGCTGAGGTCAACATTCGGTCCTGGTCGCCTAAGACAGAAGATCCGGGAACAACAACAGGGCACTATGTTCTTTTCTGCAACCACCTTCTCTACTCCTCCTGCCAGTTCCCCCCCCCCCTTTTTCTTTCTCCAAAGTAGGACGCAGTAGACAAAAGAAAATTTTCAGGGGAATGAAGATGGAAAGGAACTCCTTCAAAACTCACAGAAACATTCAAATGGTAGAAAAAGAAGTAAACTGATTTTAGGCTGATTCCCAAGGAAAGTGTTTGTAGTTTGTGTCTAGCCAAGTGAATTGCTTGCTAACACCCAAACAAATCAAATCCAAAAATCAACTCTTTGTATTCCTCCGAGGAATCCAGAGTCTCCAAAGCATAATATTCACAGTGTCCAGGAGATAATCCAAAATTATTTGACACATGAAGAGACAAGGAAATGTGGCCCATTCTCAGTAGAAAACAACCACAAATGACTCAGATGCTGGAATCAGGAAACAAGACCTCGAAGCAGCTATATGTCTACGTTCAATGATGTAAGGAAAAATATGCTTGCAATGAATAGAAAGATAGGGAATCTCAGGGAAAAATAGAAATCATAAAACAACTAAACGGCAATTGTAGAACAAAAAAAATTGCAAGCTATGAAATAAACTAAAAATTACAATATCCAAAATAAAAAAAATTATATAATGGGCTTCACAACCGAATGGACATGACTCAAAAAAACTTCAGCAAACTCAAAGCTAGACCAACAGAAATTAACAGAGAGGGAAAGCAAAAAAAAAAAATTTTTTTTTAATCAGAAAAGGGGGTGCCTGGGTGGCTCAGTCGTTAAGTGTCTGCCTTCGGCTCAGGTCATGATCCCAGGTCCTGGGATCGAGCCCCGCATCGGGCTCCCTGCTCCACAGGAAGCCTGCTTCTCCCTCTCCCGCTCCCCCTGCTTGTGTTCCCTCTCTCGCTGTGTCTCTCTCTACCAAATAAATAAATAAATAAATAAATAAATCTTTTAAAAAAATCAGAAGACTTTCAGATACCTATGGAACTCATGTAGCACGTGTCTAACATACTTATAATTGGAGTCACAGAAGGAGAAGAATGTGAAAATGGAACAAAATATATTTGAAGAAATAATGGCTGAACCCTTTCCAAATATGGTGAAAGACATAAATTCATAGATTGAAGAAGCTCAGTGAACCTGAGGCAGGGTAAATATGAAGAAAACTATGCCTAGGCACATCAAACCGTTGAAAAGCAAAGATAAAGAGAAAGCAGTCAGAGAAAAACAACATGCTACATACAGGGGAACAGTGACATGAATGACTGTTATCAGAAGCCATGGAAACATCTTTAAAGTGCTGAAAAGGAAAAAAAAAGTGTTATTCTAGAGCTAGTGAAAATATCCTTCAAGAATGAAGCCAAAGACAATTTCAGATAAAATAAAATTAAGAAAACTCATTGACAACAGAGTTCCAGTCCAAGAAATGATGAAATTCTTGATGCTAAAGGAAAACATTACCAGATTGACATTCAGATCTTCAAGAAGGAATGAAGAGCTTCGGAAATGGAACCATCTCGACAGATAGAAAAGTCTGTTTTTTTCCTCTTAATTCCTTTAAAATATGTATGACTCTTTGAAGCAAAGAAATATTTTTTGTGGGTTTTATAATATAGGTCAATATAATTAATACACACGACAATATAATATGAAGCACAGGACGGCACACTTTTCCAGGAAAGGGTAAGAGAGTAAATGCTGTGGATTTGAGGGCCACAGGGTCTCTGTCACAGGTGCCCAACTCTGCCCTGTAGTGTGAAAGCAGGCCACAAACACAAGCCAAGGTGCCTGGCTAGGCTCCAATAAAACTCTTTGTACAAAAATAGGCAGCAGGCTGGATCTGGCTCACTCACCACCTGGCATAAAGGAAAATGGCAGTAGGATGGCAAAAGGCTTTATACAGGGGCAAAGTTTCTGCGTTTAAATGAAGTGGTACAATATTAATTCTAAGTGAACTGTGAAAAGTCAGTGTCTCTCAATAGTGGCAGTATGGACCTTTTCAGTCAGATCATTCTTCACTGTGTGTGTGTGTGTGTGTGTGTGTGTGTGTGTGTGTGTGTGTTGGCAGGGGATGTCTTGAGCATCGGAAGATGTTGAGTAGCATCCTTGGCTTTAACCCACTAACTGCCAGTGGCACCACTCTCCCCAGTTGTGACAACCGAAACTGTTTCCAAACACAGCCAGCTGTTCCCCGGTTAACATTAACAACCAGTGCCCTAAAGCAACCACCAAAAACTCCAGAGATAGAACTAAAAAGCCAATAGGTAAATTGAAATAGAAGTCTAGGAGTGCCTGGGTGTCTTAGTCCATTAAGCATCTGACTCTTGATTTTGGCTCAGGTCATAATCTCAGGGTGGTAAGATGGAGCCCCACGTAGGGCTCAGTGTGAGTCTGCTTGAGATTCTCTCTCTCCCTCTCCCTCTGCCCCTCCCCCTGCTCATGCTCTCTAAACAAACAAACAAATAAATAAAATCTTTTAAAAAATTAGATAGAAGTCTAGAACATTTAAATAGTCCAAAAGAAGGCAGGAAAGTTTCCTCCCTTGTGTGTTCCTCTCTCTTTCAAAGGAAAAAAGGGAGGAAAAACAGAAAATAAATAACAAAATGATAAATATAAACCCAGCCATCTCAATATTGCATTGTATGTTAATGGGGGCTAAACATTCCAATTAAAAGGCAGATATTGTGAGAATGAATAAAAAGCAAGACCCAACTCTATGCTGTCTCAAGAAACTCACTTCAAATATGAGGGCACAAATAACTTGAAAGTAAATGGACAGGAAAAGATATACTATGTAAACAGTAAGCAAGAGAAAACTATAGTGTATTAAAGATATATACAGATAAAATCAAATTCAAGGTTAAAGAACATTACTAAGATAAAAAGGGATATTTTGTAATGTAAAAAATAAAAGGAAGATGAAAGACCTGTACCCCCAGAACTATAAAATATTGATGAAAAAACTGAAGATGACACAAACAAATGGAAAGATAGTCCATGCTCATGATCTAAAGAACCAATATTGTTAAAATGTCCATACTGCCCAAAGCAATCTACGGATTCAATGCAATCTCTATCAAAATAATATTTTTCACAGAATGAGAACAAATAACCCTAAAATTTGTATGGAACCACAAAAGACCCCAAATAGCCAAAGCAATCTTGAGAAAAAAACAAAGCTGGAGGTATCCTAATCCCAGATTACAAGATACACTACAAAGCTGTCGTCATCAAAACAGGTTGGTACGGGCACAAAAACAGACACATAGATCAGTGGAACAGGATAGAGAGCCCAGAAGTAAACCCGTGCCTACATGGTCAATTAGTCTATGACAAAAGAGGCAAGAATATACAATAGGGAAAAGACAGTCTCTTCAACAAATGGTGTTGGGAAAATTGGACAGCTACATGCAAAAGAATGAAACTGGACAACTTTCTTACACCATACACAAAAATAAAATGGATTAAAAACCTAAATTTGAGACCTAAAACCATAAAACTCCTAGAAGAAAACATAGGCAGCAATTTCCTTGACATCAGCCATAAAACCATTTTTCTAGATATGTCTTCTCAGACAAGGGAAACAAAGCAAAATTATTGGGACTCCACCAAAATAAAAGGTTTTTGCACAGCGAAGGAAACCATCAACAAACAGCAAGACAACCTACTGAATGGGAGAAGATATTTGCAGAGGATATATCCTATAAGGGGCTAATATCCAAAATATATAAAGAACTTATACAACTCAACATGCAAAACAAACAAACAAACAAACAAAACAACCCAGTTAAAAAGTGGACAGAGGACCTGAATAGACATTTTTTTCCAAAGAAGATATGTAAATGGCCAACAGACACATGAAAAGATGCTCAACATCACTCATCATCAGGGAAATACAAATCAAAACCACAATGAGATATTAACTTACCCTGCCAGAATGGCTAAAATAAAAAAGACAAGAAATAACAAGTTTTGACAAGGAGGTACAAAAAGGAACACTTGTGCACTATTGATGGGAATGCAAACTTGTGCAGCCACTGTGGAAAACAGCATGGAGATTCCTTTAAAAAATCAAAAATAGAATAACCATATGACCCAGTAATTCTACTACTGAGTATTTACCCAAAGAAAACGAAAGCATTAATTTGAAAAGATATATGCACCCCTATGTTTATTGCAGCATTGTTTACAAGAGCCAAGACATGGAAGCAGCCCCAATGTCCATCGATAGATGAATGGATAACAAAGGTGTGGTATATATACACAATAGAATATTACTCAGCCACAAAAAGAATGAGATATTGCTATTTGCAACAGCATGGATGGGCCTGCAGAATATTATACGAAGTAAAAAAGCCAGTCAGAAAAAGACAAATACCATATGATTTCACTTATCTGTGGAATTTAAGAAATAAAACAAATGAACAAAGAAAAAATAAAAAAAAGAGGCAAGCCAGAAAACAGACTCTTCACTACAGAGAGCAAAGTGATGGTTACCAGAGGGGAGATAGTAGGTAGGGGCATGAAGCGAACACTTACCTTGATGAGCACTGAGTAAGATATGGAAGTGTTGAATCACTATACTGTACACCTGAAACTAACATAACACAGTATGTTCACTCTCCTGGATTTACAATTAACAAAGAAATGTATGTCAGTGGGCACAAGGCTTGGGGCATGGCCAGGGAGGGGCAGCGAAGCAGGGGCGGGAGGTGGGGTCTGAGCGACAGATGTGGATTTTCTAAGTAGATGAGAAGTCACTGGGAGGTTTCAAGCAGGGAAGGAGGCGCTCTGGGAAAGGGTCCAGAGGAGAGGGTCTGGGAAGGAGCCTGCAGCTGCCTCTCGGCTTCGGTCCAGGACCGCAGCTTCAGATCTGGGCTGCGGGCACGGAGCTCTGGTCAGTGACAGAGCGGCGGCAGCAGCGGCATTAGGAATCCCCTCCCCCTGCCTCATTCTCTACTCGTCCTTTAGCTCTGAGCTCAGGAAAGCTTCTCTGACACCTTCTGTATTATTTTATCCGGGATACTCCATAGCCCCTCCTTCATGACCTTTTCACAGTTTAAAATTACAGATTTATTGGTGTAATTCTTTGATCTGCATCTCTTCCTCTAAACTGTAAACTTGAGAGCAAGGACCATGTCTTGTGCTCACCACCAGGGGCAGATTCAGGTTTTGTGGGGACGGAAGATTTTTATCATTTGAGGGGGGGACCCTCTTTAAGAAAATAAATATATAATTATAAATCTAAAATTAACTATAAATAAATATTCATTTGGAGGGAGCATTGGAATTGCCACGAACTCCGAGAGCTTAGGAGATGGAAGTCCCTTCTGAGGAGCTCACTTAGACAATTTAGTAGACATACTTACATAGAAATGCTTCTTGGTGGTAACCAGGCTTCCTCTGGCTACTTTGAACATCCCACAATTCCCAGCACTCACATGGGCTGGGCAAGTGAGGAGCCTGAAGCTTCATCTTCATTAGCTGCTCAGTACGTCCATCTCTGTTCATCACCATGTTCCCAGTACTTAGCACCACGCTGGTTATACAGATGCTCAAGGAGTCACAGCCGCTATATTGGTAACGATTACCTTTCCTCTTGCCCACATCTGAGTGTTGACCAGGATATGCAAAGACAAGAGAGGAGAAGAGAGATTTCATCTCATCTCACATCACCAGTAAATGGGTAAAGTAGACAACCACAAGTGTGATTACTTTTTAGGACAAGATTAATATGTCACCAGAAAGGACAGGAAGGTGGGTAACTTTTGTTCCAGATGGCAAGGCAAAGTTGGGAAGAGAAAACCAGAAAGGTCAGTTGGGAAAATTCAGGCCCACAAAGTGGCTGATGGGGCATTTTATGTTTTTATGAAAGGACAGTAGCAGATAACACATTCAAACTTCCATTTTATTTGATTTTTTAAATATTTTATTTATTTATTTGAGAGAGAGAGAGAGAGAGCATGAGCGGGGGAAGGAAGAAGTAGAGGGAGAAGCAGACTCCCCACTGGGCAAGGAGTCCAATGCGGGACTCAATCCCAGGACCATGAGATCATGACCTGAGCCGAAGGCCCATGCTCTGAGCCACCTGAGCCACCCAGGCAGCCCTTATTTTTTATGTTTTAGTATTTTTTTAAGTAGGCTCCACACCCAGCATGGAGCCCAACATGGGGCTTGAACTCATGAACCTGAGATCAACACCTGAGCTGAGATCAGGAGTCAGACCCTTAACCAACTGAGCCACACAGGCACCCCCAAACTTCCATTTTAGACCAGAGGTTATAGTGCCTAGCTGCCTATGAGACAAGGCTAACCAACGAACTGCAGAGCTTGGCACTCAAAGAGATGTAATGGCTATGTGCCCAGACATAGCCCATCTAGAAAGCCCATCCGTCCAACAGGAGCATCCTCTCAAGGAGCTGGGGAGGAGGGTGGAACCCAGGGCTGAAGGGGTGTGGCTGAACCACGGGCAAGAGCAGGGAGCAAGTGGTTTCCATAAAGAAGGAGGGTGAAGCCTCAAAAAATCTTTCAGGATGTTTGCTGATAGCAAGGCCATCATAAAATAAGAATGCAACATCTGGATTCTGATACGGTCACCTGAGAACATAAAAACACTCAATATTTCATGTGGGCAATTCATGCAGCAAGCACTGAGAGCTACTGTGGGCTAGGCAAATTCTTGCAAGGTATTCTTTCTTCTTTACGTATGTTTCTTCCCATTTTTGCACCCAAATGGCTTGAGTCAAGTTTATCTGGACATGTGAAAATCTCTAGTATATTCATGATACATCTTGACATAGGTAATGTGACCCCCAGATGTACTTCTACTTCAGCCTTCCCTATTTTTTAAAACAACTCTTAGTTGTGCCCTACTGTCCCAGGCACTGTGCTAGACTCTCACATTCTCCCATCTGATCCTTACACCTATGCCTCCTAGTGGTGGTCATCATCTGCTTTGGTCTGCACAGGCCCATCTGACCTCTTTCCCAAATAACAGTAATTCTTTTGGGGCAGTGGAGGCGGGGGGGAACTGCTCCTTTCTTACTCCAGACATGTAGTCCTGGTTGGGGCTGCCAATTCCTGTGCTCACCCCGCTACCTAGAGGAATGGATAAGTTGCCTGGGATGAGCCAGTGGTGATACACCATCTCCCTGTTCATTGTGAGTGGTCTGGGAAATGAACACATAACCCCGGCCTGGCCAGAATTTTTCCCCAGTACTTTTTAAACTAGGGTCAGGAGAGAAGTCCTGTCTTTTCCCTCTGACCTCAAAGATGAAAGCAAAGGACTACAGTTCTAGATTTTTGGAAGCAGCCAGGCTGCGAGAATAAAGCCAATGTGGAGACTAGAAGTGCGGAGAGACAGAGGGAGCCGAGGTGTCTCTGAGGTCAGATATGCCTTTGCCCTACCCTTAATTTGGTTCCTCGAGGCCCTTGATTTCCCTTTCCTGCTTTAGCCAGTTTAGTTTAGGATTTCACGGAATGTAACAAAGAGTCTTCTGAAGGTGTTCTTTATTCAGACAAATCCGAGTCTCAGGCAGTCCCTGCAGCGGGCCAAGAGTGTCAGATCCTGTTCCTCTGACTTTTGACATGCTTTTGAAATTCTCTTGCTTCCTTTATAGCTGCTACCCCTAGCACAGTGGCTAGAAGCTCACAGCTCTGGCTTCGGCTCACAGCACTGCTAAGATACGCTGGAATCGTCAAAGCCTTGACTACAATTCTGAGAGGTGACAGCAAGCAAATAAATATTATGAGGCAATAAATGTACAAAACAGACATGATTACAGAGCACAAGTCTTCAGCTAGCTCGCCTCAGGGCCTGCAAACCCATTCGACCGCCTGAGCTATACAGAGAATTGCTTCATTCTAACCCCGAAGATGTGGCAAAAGATTTTAGCAATCCAGCCTGGGACCCCCGCTTGCTAGCTGAGTCTGACTACACATAGAGAGCATGGTTTAAAACATTAGCTAATTTTAAAAAATTAAAATGTGGCAAACCAAATCTGATTTATAGATGCAATGCAATCCCAATCAAAATCCCAGCAGGCTTTTTTTTTAAATTTTAGAATTCATTAGCTGATTCTAAAACTCACATAGAAATGTAAAGAACTCAAATAGCCAAAACAATTTTGAAAAAGAGAAACAACATCAGAGGATGTCTGCTAATTAAAGAATTACTATAGTGATTCCTTGAAAAGTTAAACATATGTAAACAAATGTAAAAGTTGAAACTATAATACTTCTAGAAGAAAACATATGAGAAAATCTTTGTGACCCTGGGACAGGCAAAAATTTCTTAAGACACAAAAAGTACAAGCCTTAAAAGAAAAAAAAAATGGATAAATTAGACATCATGAAAATAAAAAACTTCCACTCCGCAAGAGACACCATTAAGAAAATGAAGAGGTAAGCTGTTAGCTGATAGAAAATGTTTGCGAAGTATGTATCTGACAAGGATTTGCATCTAGCAAATATGCACATATATATGTGCAGAACTCTTACAACTCAGTAGTAAGTCAACCCAACCTTTCAAAAAGGTACGCAAAGGGGCACCTAGGTGGCTCAGTTGATTGAGCGTCTGACTCTTGATTTCAAATCAGGTCATGATCTCAGGGTTGTGGGATTGAGCCCCGCCTCACGCTCCGTGCTCAGTGTGGAGTCGGCTTGAATTCTCTCTCTCCCTCTCTCTCCCCGCTTGTACTCTTTCTCTCTCTAAATAAAGTCTTTAAAAAGTAAAAATAAAAATGTACCCCAAATTTTGATACTTCATATACAGAAAAAGATTTAAGAGCCATGAAAAGATGTCCAACCATTAGTTACCAAGGAAATGCAAATTAAAACCAAAATGAGATGCCACCACCACCTACCAGAATAGCTAACATTAAAAAAAGACGGATACCACCGAATATTGGCAAGGATATAGTGCATGCTGGACTCTCATACATTGTTGGTAGGAATATAAAATGACACAACCACTTTGAGAAAAGATCAGCAACTTCCAATACTGAATACTGTAATCCCCCTGTATTTGCAGGGGGTTTGTTCCAAGACCCTCAGGGGATGCCTGAAACCATGGATAGTATTGAACCCTATATATGTTATGTTTTTCCTATACGTACACACCTATGATGAAGGTTAATGAGAAATTAGGCACAGTAAGAGATTAACAACAATAACTAATATTAAAATAGAATAATGATAACACCACACTGTAATAAAAATTATGTACATGGAGTCTCTTATTGTACTGTCCTCACCCTTCTTCTTGTGATGAGAGACTGCCTATGTGACGAGATGAAGCGAGGGAATGACGTAAGCCTCTGACCATCAGTCAGCAGAAAGATCATCTGCTTCTGGTTCCTCTTGACAGCAGGTAACTGAAACCATGGAAAGGAAAACCGTGGACAGGGGCAGAGGGGGGACTACTGTCCACACCAAACCTCTGACACAGAAATCCGCACCCCTCCCCCAAGATGGACGTCTCTTGGGTGTAGAGGCTGAGTCTCCTCAGATCTGCCAGCCTGCGGGAGGAGGAGGTCAGCTTGCTGGCAAGGCTCAGCCCCTGTAGAGAGGGCCTGTAGTCAAGAGACATATTTAATTCCAGGGAGAAGTATAAGGAATGCTTTGTGGAGGCACCTCTAAGCCTCATTCTGCAATCAGCTTGATCTGTAAGAAAGCAGAGGAGTTGGCATCTCTATTTGTTTCTTGTGCTTGTTCCTTACTGGAGAGGGGACACAGTGGTATTACTCATTACTCATACACAGACCCTCAAACCCCTCCCCAATCCCCTTTGCTGAGCAGCGTGCTGCTTGTAAGCACTTGATTATCCCAAACTGGGAGGTGATTACCGGTAGCTTTCTGCTGAGACCCGTGCACCGTGTGCCCTCTAGACATCTCACCAGGACTTCTTGCTCCAAGCTCCAAATTCCAGACTGGGGACAATGTCTTTCTGCAGTGGGCAACTGGCCCCAGAAATGCCCTCACTCTGATGCCAAGACCGGGCCTCTACACCTAAGTGTGGCCTGACCTTTACACATTCGACAACAAGTCAACCAACCACTCAAACTCTTTTCCTGGTTTTTATGGGCCATCAAAATTTCCAAACTATTTTGGGGACCAAAATAGGGTGCCAACTTTTCATTTTATTCATCCTCTATCATCATCATCCATTTTTAAAAAATAGATCGTATCTTTTTTTAATAGATTGTATCTTTTAGAGCAGTTTTAGGCTCCCAGCAAAATTGAGCAGAAAGTACAGAGAATCCTCACACACCCGCTGTCACTACACATACTTCTCCCACCATCAACATCCTGCTGCAAAGTGGTACATTTGTTATAACCTATGACCCTCCTTTGGCACATCATTATTGCCCGAAGTCTATAGTTTACAATAGGGTTCACCCTTGGTGTTGGGCATTCTACGCTTCTTGAAAAATCTATAATGACCTGGATTCACCATTGCGGGATCGCACAGAGTAGTTTTACTGCCCTAAATATACTCTGTGCTTCTCTATTCATCCCTCAGTCATTTCATTTTTTTTTTTAAAAAACACTTAAGAAATCAGAAAAGAATCTCAACATAGAAATTTTTAACCCTGGGTGCCTGGGTGGCTCAGTTGGTTAAACAGCTGCCTTTGGCTCAGGTCATGATCCCAGGGTCCCGGTATCAAGCCCCACATCGGGCTCCCTGCTCAGCGGGGAGCCTGCTTCTCCCTCTCTCTCTGCCTGCCACTCCTGCTTGTGCTCGCTCTCTCTCTCAAATGGATGGATAAAATCCATTTTTTAAAAAAAATTTTAAAAAAAGACATTTTTAACCCTTGGACTGGTGAAACTAGTCTGAGGACAAGTGGAACTGCAGCCAAATAAGACAATCACCACAGCGTTCATAGACAAGAACTCTGCACCTCAAGTGGTCTCTGTGCCCATTTTACAGATGAGGAAACTGAAGCTCAGTCAAGTGGAGGTAGTGGCCAAGGGCTGAAACCAAAGGACCTTAACTCCAGAGACCAAGCGCTCAACTGCCACACCCCAGCATCTTCCAAAAGAGTTCCCAGGCCAGTAGCTTTGAGGTAGAAGGAGGGTGTCCCCATGCTAGCCCCAGGTGACTGCTCTCTTCCGACCCCTCCCTCCACATGCACATGCAATGTGCAACTTCCAACATGTACGATATCATTGTATTGGTCTTCTCTTCAGGCAAATTCTGAGAAGGCTTTTGTCATAAACCAAGAAGTTTATAAATTCCGTCCCTTCTCAGGCCTAGTGTTACACTTTATAGTTATGTGTATTTATCTGCGATACTGGAACTACAGGACACACCCTTTCTGCTGTGGCAAAAAATATTTTAAATTAAGACCCCTACTCCAGAAACCTAAAGTTCTCTCAAATAAATCGCACAGGAGCACTAAGGTGGCAAAGTCCCCAGAAGCCTTCTACGGGGAGCACTGGGCAGCCTCCGCCCCAGCACTCAGTGATGTGGTCTTCTTGCTTTTGACCTCAGGCCTCATTTGATGACTTGCAGGTTCCCAGAAGCTTTCACTCCTGATATGAGCCAGAGAGCCCAAACAACAAGGCCTCGAGTTTATAGCCTTTTATCTTCATTCCATTTTAAATAGTTTGTCCTTCTGGGGCGCCTGGGTGGCTCAGTTGTTAAGCGTCTGCCCTCGGCTCAGGTCATGGTCCCAGGGGCCTGGAATCCAGCCCCGCATCGGGCTCCGTGCTCCGTGCTCCGCGGGAAGCCAGCTTCTCCCTTCCCACTCCCGCTGCTTGTGTTCCCTCTCTCGCTGTATCTCTCTCTGTCAAATAAATAAATAAGATCGTTAAAATAAATAAATAGTTTGTCCTTCTGTGTGTTGGGGGTGGGGGTGGGGCTGTTCCCGTTGAATCGCCATCACGTGACCTAGGATGAGGGAAGCTGTACATGAACGCGGGGTTCTGCCCGGGGTTTTCCATTCACACACACCCCTTCTCAATACTTCAACCCCCATGTTGGAAAGCCTGACAAAAATGGACTCTACCGTTGCCTTGCTGTTGGGGAAGGTCATCAAAAAGACAAGACTGCTAATTGACCTGTGAGCTGGACCCGAGCGCTTGGAGGTTCCTCAGCCCCTCCCCTGTCCTTGGAATGTGGGTTCCGCTTGCCTCTCCTAGAGGCTCCTAGAGGCTGCTCCAAGGATGGAGCCTGGAGATAGCAATGCGGTGTTAAGAACACTTACACAGTTTATATGACTGAATCAGTTAAAAGCCTCTTTATGTCCTTTTAAATTTGGCAGGTGAGTGCAGGAATCCATTAGTCGTACTGCTGGCCAAGACAAGCCTCATACAGAAGTTCCCTCGGTTTATTAAAACTGCCACCTGCCAAGCTGCAGTGGCCTGCCTCTCCCTTCTGTCCCTCCCTGCCCTCCGAGTACAGGGGCCAGTTTCAGATTACACCTGGGAAGTTCCTGGGAGGGTTATGAAGCCATTCTTGCTGCGTGGCCTTGACCAAGTCTCTGGACTTCCCTGGGCCTCTGTCTCCTCTACAGATAAGAATACGGCAACTGGACTAAGCGTGAGGAATGTGAAGGAGGAGCTCGGAAGGGACGGCTTAGCCCCCCTCTTCTGCTGGCTTTCTCTCGATCCGGTGGTCAGGTGGATCTCCAGCCCTTCTCTCCTACCCAAGAGACTCGCAGAAGGACGGTCAGGGATTTTCCTGTTTCCATTCTCATCTCTAAGGCTTCGAAAGGCTCACGTTTAGGGACTCTGTACGAGGGTATTCTCTACTCTACCTTCTTCCAACCCGCCTTTTGTCTCGGAAGCCAACTTCCACGGACTACAGGCAGGGCACCCTCCCCTCTGGCTTGGACTGGGTTTGGCCAATGGGAGGAGCTGGCGGAGGACTAGCAGAGGAAGAGGTAGAAGTAAGACTCTCCCGGTGCCTCCCCGCTCTCCTCCCCACCTCCCTGCAGTGGCGGCATCTGGCAGTTCCAGCTCTGGTTGGGCGGCCCCTCTTCCTTGACTCCAGCTTTCACAGGTTCCATCACCAAGTTCCTTTACCTTCTCTCCTCCATTGGAGGGGCGCTCAAAAGACTTCTTGCTGTTGTCAGTCACCCCTTTACCCTGCACACACCTCTGCAGACAGTGCTTCCATTAACAAACGCTTTGAGAGTGCTTTCTCTTTCCTGCCATACCTCTCTGACGCAGACTCTCAGTACCTCTCTTCCGGCTTTCAGAACTGGTATTCTAACCAACCCCGGCTATGGGGAGGTTCATCTGTAAGATCAAGAGGTGAGTTTTGAAGGGACAAAGCCAAGGTCTCTTTGCTGCTGGGCACTTGTCTTCCAGCTACACACACCCTCTTTCCTCCTCGGTGCAAATGAGTGAGTGGAAAGTCATCTAATGGTCGGCTACCGGGTGACATGTTTTACCAAACACAATCCTGTTGCTCACCATAATTATCTGTATTTGTGAATAAGCTGCATTCCTCTGACCATCTGTCTTATTTTTGGTTGACAGACTCCCAAATTCCCTCTCTTTTATTCATGCATAATACATGAATGATTCACAAGTGGGAAAGTCAACAGGGCTCCTTCTACGCCGGTCTCCTCATCTGTAGCAATGGGATAATAAGAATATCAACCTCATAGAGTTGGCGTGAGAATTAAATAAGTAACATCTGTAAGTGTTTAGAACAGCAGGTGCAAAGTATTATCTAACACTATTATTGTACTCTCTCAGCTGGTTCCTTTTGCTTCACCTTCCTACAGCTCGTATGTAGGAAGGGAAGCAGGGGACCTGGGTGGGAATTCCTAAGTCGCCCCCCCCCACACTTTCAATGTTTTCCTCAGCTTTCAATGTTTTCCTCCCCCTCCATATCCCACTGCTGAGTAGATTTCCTTCTTTGCCATCTTTTTATCCCAGGAAGCTTCTGGAAGGGCAACCCGGGCAAGTTGTGATCCTTATGTTTTCTGCTTTCAATTCCAGACCAGTGGCTTTCAGATGGTGGCCTGAAGAGCCCTGTGGCTCCCAAGAAGCCCCCGAGACCCCAGAAAGTGGGTGTCCCTCCAGGTCACACTCCTTAGCTTGCTTTTATCTGTTCAAGCTTCCTTTCAAGATTCTGTTTGATCAAAGGCTTCCGAGACTTTAAAGTTGAAAATCCCTGTTCCGAGATATTGCAACTCTCAGTCTTAATTTCTTTGACCCCCGTTGCCAAGAAACTTTCTCTACTTCATTCAAATAGTTTGTATTCTTTTCCACTTCTGATGCTCTGAAACAGAGATGGGAACAAGCAAATCTTTGTGTACTCATCTGGGATGTCTCTCCCAGGTGCTCAGCATGTTCAGCCAATATTGTCTCCCTAATTCTCAGGCCTCTAGGGAAGATAACTACAGCACTGTTTAACAATAGAGACACTTGAAGGCACTTGACTTTTACTGTCACCCCAGCCAGCCACTGGAATACTTCCAAGCCCAGGAATCAAAAGACTACTAGGACTCCATCCTGATAGGCCTGGGCCAAGTCTGGCCCTAAGACTGCTAGGAGAGAGCGAAGCTCCCTGGACCGGCAGGGAGGAGCACTCAGCGTCTGGAATTCGCTGTGGGAGTTTGGGGAGGTACTAACACCCCAACCAGTCAACATATAATTTCTTCATGCAGTTCAAGACTTTGGGCACAGGCACTACGAATATGGGAAAGGAGCAAAAGCCCTAAGGTGCAGATCTCTGCCTGGAATGCCTTCACCTCAGATTGCCACACACTCCCCCTCATACTTCATTTGGCTCAAAGGTTACCTCATTAGAACTGCCTTAAGACTGGGGCAAGATAAGCCCCTACCTTGGGTTCTGAGCTCTTTGGCCCTCCTCTAACCATACTCCTTTCCACAGAGCAAGAAGCCCATGGGCCAAGGGGATGTGCCCACCCAAAACTCCTGCTCCTCACCCTGTCTTAGATCACACTGTGGGTACCCGAGGCCCTAGAACCCTCTGTCCCTATAGCACCGGGCCAGCTTCTAGAGACTGCATTGGGTTCCCATCCTCTTTAGGAGCCAAGAAACAGCTATTTGTAGGAGGTGTGGATGAAGCTCAGATGTGCAGACCCAGATATGACAGGTGTGGGCACATGGTCCGTTGAAGTACGGGACAGAGCTGGAGTGCAAAAAGTAGGAGGAAGGTCGAGGGCCAGGGACCAGTTACCACCTAACCACCCCATTCCAGTGCATATCTTGAGGGAGTCCGGGAATTCTAAACTTATATTTGGCCTTCCAGATTATGATGAAGGTATACTGTCACAATGAAAGGACAGGAATTTTACATACCAGTTTAACGTGGTTTGTAATTTTTAAATATGTAGACACACAATAAGTGGGCCTCCATTTGTGCTTCTGACCCTGGCCCTGTAAAGAGGAGGGGCAGACCCATCCCTGATCACACTGTGTAAAATAAAATAGCACTTCCTCTGTCACTCTATTCTGACGCTACTGTATAGTTCTTCATAGCGTTTGTCACCATTAGATCTACATTTACTTGTATATCATCTCTCTATCCCTACCCCCACTAGAATGGAAGTGGGCGACTGTAGAGTCTTGCTTGTGTTTACTGTCTTATTCTTAGTACCTAGAGCAGTGCCTGGCACAAAGAAACCACTCAGCAAACTCGGCTGAAGGAACAATGAGTCGAGTCTCAGATGGCTTAACAGATGAGGTGCGCTAACGGAAAAAAACACACAGGAAAACGATCACGCGTGACAACCCTCTGAGGAGCTCTTTCTCCCCGTAAACCACGCCGCTTAGGAGCTACAAAAGGTGACCAGGGAACATCAACCTAAACACCTTAATACGCACGAACACAAAATTGAGTTGTCGGGTTACTTGTGAGAGGGACACTGGAGTGCGGAGGGCTTCGAGTAGCCTGGAAAGTTAGATGTGGAGGACCTGCGCTGCTGGGAGCCCCCACTGGAGGAATCTCCGCACAAACTTACCGGGGTGGCCAGACCTGTGTGCTGAGGAAACCCTGTGATTGCCGCGCAATGGCCCACGCCATCCGGCCCAGCCTAAAGTGGGGAGGGAGATTCTCATCCATGACTGTTTCCCTTGGATGGTCACAGGCCTCAGGAGTGTGGACACATCTCATCCCTGTGGGGCCATGATGATGATCACAGACCCGGGGACCTTCCCTCTTCTCTCTCACCTGCTTCTAACTCACATCTTATTGCGTGGAGGGATCCCCAGAACTTTCTTGGTACGGCATGAATCGGTCCAATCTATTCCAACTTACTCCTTTTCCGTTAGATACGGGGCTCGTGAGAAGCCAAATGACCTCCTCGAGTCCCCCAGCAGCCACCGGAATACCGGTCCGGGCCTCTGCCGGGCGAACGCCCCTCTCTTTGGGGGTGGGGGCTCCCGGGCCGGGCTGCGCTCCCCGCCCCCCTGAGGTCAGAGGCGGGAACCCGCTAGCTCAGCTCCCGGGCCTCCGCGGAGCGCGGGGCGGGGAAGGGGGGGGCGGTGCCGGGCCGCGGAGGGGGCGGAGCCCCCGAGGCTCCTCCCCGCGACGGACGCTGGAAGAGCGGCGGAGCGGCCCGGCGCCCACTCGTCCGAAACTGGTGCGCAGTGGTGGGCGCGGCGGCGCAGGATGGGCTGGTGCGGCTGCGGCTCGGGGCTGCCGCTGTCGCGGCTGCTGCTGCCGCTGCTGCTGGCGGTGGCCGGCGCCGGCGCGGCCCCGCGCTCCGCGCTCTACTCGTCCTCTGACCCGCTGACGCTGCTGCAGACAGAGACGGTGCGCGGCGCGGTGCTGGGCTCCCGCAGCGCCTGGGCCGTTGAGTTCTTCGCCTCCTGGTGCGGCCACTGCATCGCCTTCGCCCCGACGTGGAAGGCGCTGGCCAACGACGTCAAAGGTGAGGGGCGAATCTCCTCGCGCCCCCCGGGGCCGATCCCCACCACCTGCCCGGCCGAGGCCTCTCCCACCTGCCCCTCCTCCCCCCGGCCCGGGGCCTCCGCCCACCTCTTCCTCTCTGCCCCTCGCACTTCCCCGGCGGTTTCCAGCCCTCAACTCCATTTTTGGCTCCCGCGCCCCGCAGTCTCTTTCCCCTTGGCCGGTGTCCCGAGCTTCTCCCCGCTCCCGGCGGCCCGGGCCCTCACACCTGCTCTGCTTTCCCGTCGGTCCTCAGCCGGCTTACTGCCCCCCATCCCTGCGCCGGCCTCTCCTTTGTTCGTCCTCCTGCTCTGCTGACACCTTAAGGCCTCCGCTGCAGTCGCCTGTGGCGGTCCCTTTCCTCTCGCACAGGGACCCATGTCGCCTTCCTGCCGAGTTCCGCAGCTGCTGTGGGATCAGTGCTGGGGAGAAAAGGAACTGACACTCCGTCTGCCAACCCCTTGGCTAGTTGACCCAGCAGCCACCTAGACGTCTCTTCTCAGCTTTACTTTTGAGACACAGTTTTGTGGGTTCTAGGCCTCTCCTGACCCAAGGCCTCCAGCTCGTTAGCTTCTGGGCCACGCATCTTCTCTCTTCCCCTTGGCCATGCACCCTCTCAGACCCTTCTGTTTTAGCCCATGAACCCAGAGGCCTGACTGAAGGCAGCCTCTTGGTGTGTGTTTGGCCCTTTGCTCTATGTTCCTATTCGGTGGCCTGACCCTTAACACCCTATTTCCTTGATTCTAAGCCCCTCAGTTGTGGGACATACCATTCATTGACTAGCAGCCTGAGGGGGTAGAGAGGTAACAAGACCACTAAATGTATCGATATTTAAAGGTGTACTCTATCAGAGAAATGGTAAATTAAAAAACAAACAAAAAAAAACAAGACTAGAACTGAAAAAAATATGACAATAATAGTAATTAATATTTACAAGTGCTTACTATACGTCTGACACCTTCCTGGCTAAGTACATGACGTGCATTATCTCAGAGTTTCCTTTCCAGAATTGAAGGATCTCTGTGGTGTCACACAGCTGCCTAGCTCAGATAGTGGGTGTTTGGTGGGTGTGGTGGTAGTGATTTGCTTCTCATTTGTTGCCTCTGAATGAAGCTACTTCCTGATTGTGTTGCTAGGGCCCTAGCTTGGCTCCTGACTGGAAATGATCACTGAATGAGGACTGTGGGCATCTTAGGGAATGGGCCTCTTTCTAGAGAGAGACCTGGAACTGTTGTTTCCTTGCTGTGCTGTTGGTATTTTTTTTTAAGATTTTTTTTTTTTTTTATTCATTTGAGAGAGAGTGAGAGCACAAACCAGGGGAAGGTCAGAGGGAGAGGGAAAAGCAGACTGGCCGCTGAGCGGGGACCCCGATATGGGACTCAATCCCAGGACCCCTGGATCATGACCTGAGCCGGAGGCAGACACTTAACCAGCTGAGCCAGCCAGGCGCCCCTGGTATTTCTTGATCAGCTCAACCATTCGTGGTAAAATAGTGCATTTGTAGGCGTTGGTTTTCAAACTCAGGCTACCGCTTCCCCTGAGCAGCTTGCATCGTGGTTACTGAAGTGGCCAGATGGAAAGATGTATACATCTGTTAGCCATATGGTCCTGGAAAAGTTATTTTTAACAAAACCGATAAGCCATTTTACCTCCAGTGTGTATGTAGACACTTGTCTGCCCGCCTCTCTGGTCCCATCACCTGAATGTGCCATTTCTCAGCAGCTCCTCTCACTGTTTTGGTGCTATCAACACATCTGATCAGGGCAAGGGGGAGGAAGAGTGTTGAGCATGGAACTGGAACACCTGAGGGGACATTAGGTGTTCAGGGGACTTTGTGGACCAGAAAATCATGGAAATCCCCAGGTCAGTTTCCACCTTGAGGTTATGAGAGGGCTCTAATGGCTGCAGATGAACTCAATCTAGAAGATTCTTATGTCTTAAGAATGCTGGAGGGAAGGTTTAGCTTCCAGCTGACTTATGTGTTTGGCCTCTTGCAACCCAGAGTTTTCCAGTGAATCGCATAGCCAGACACTGACCCAGCTTACTCCTGGGCGAGGGTTGCTGCTTCCAAAAAGGGTCTTGCCCTGGTGCATGGAGTGACAGTCTTTCCCTAAAAAAGCGCAAATCGAAACTTAATCTCCAGGAAGGACAGTGGAAGTATCAGAGTCTGTGGAAATGAACCACAGCCAGTGGGAAGTAGGAAACCAGAGGTCTCCCATGAGCCACGGGGTTGGGTCAGCCCCCTTAACAAGATCGTGTTGGGGGGAGAACCAGCCGAATCTGGTGTCAGCCTGTGGTGATAAAGAATGCCCCCACTCCCATCCAACGGTGAGGCCCTGCTGAGAAGCCAGGGTTGTGCTTACATCATCTCTGTATTCCTGAGGTTCCTTGAGAAAATGGTTGTGGGCCAGCAGAGGGTTCAGACGCCACCCTGGGGCCTGTGGGTGTGTGCCCCTGCCTTCTGCCAATGGTAGGAGTATCTGGGGTAGGAGCAGTGAGAGTGTGGAAGGTCATGAGGGGGGAGAAACATTCTGCAGCCCTGCCCGGCTGGCCTCAGGCCTTTCTCTGCCTGGCTAGGGCGCATTTATTCAGTGACTTGTGGGATGGGTTCTCTGGGACAGTTGTTGCCATGGGCCAGAGCGCTGGCTTCTGTAGATCTGGCTCCTCCCTTTCTGGTCCAGGACAGCTCTTGTGTCATCATATGTTTGGGAAATTGATTGTGTTCATTTTAGATCTTCATTACTCTTCACTGGCTAATAAATCCCGTAAATATTTGTTAAGTGGCCTCTGTATGCAGAACATTGTTTACATTGCAGTTTGGGAAATGAGCTACACACTGCAGGAAAATTGGCAACAGTGAGAAGCTGTGTTTGAAAAAGGCCAAAGGAGTGGCTCAACCGTTTCTTGTAGGAACTCAGGGCAGGGCGAAATCATGGAGGGCTAATCTGTCAGCAGGCCTTAATTTAAGCAGTTATTTATTACACACTTGCCTTAGGCACTTTGCTAAGGGCCTTTACAGGCCACTAGTACATATATATATATGACCTTTATGAAAAAATATCTGAGCAATCGATGGGTTTTTTTTGTTAACAGGTAAGTAACTTGCCCGAGATTGTGCAGATACTGGAGGAGGTTCTCGAACCCATCTCTTTCTCTCCAGAACCTAGTGAGGTGGAGAGGTGGGTGAAGGAGGGGGAGTCCTCTGGGTGGGAAAATGGCCTCTGCCAAGCCACAGAAATGACAGTTATAAGGCGTGGATGTTTGGGTGACACTGAACAGTGGTGGTTTGCCTTCTTTCCTTTCCACGGTGTAGACCACCTCTCGTACCCCGTGACGCCTTAGTGCAGAGCCTGGCACAGGGTAGGAGCCCACTGAACAGTTACACAGGCCAATGGTATGAGCCTCACAGGATTCCAAATGAGAATGTAGTGACCAGGCCCTCTGCTGGTGCTGTGGCTCTTCTGGACTCAGGCCTGGGATGGCAGCCAGGTGTGAAGGCTAGGGAAGGCATTTTGTCTGTCCCGTGACCTCACTGCCCAGAAGTCTGCAACAGGGAGGAAGGGATGCGGTGGTGATGGCAGGGCACAGGCTAACTCCCTGTCAGGAGGACTCCTGGAGACTTGCATGGAGGTCTGGTTCTGACCACTTGACTAACTCTTGGTGGTTTGGGTGGCTCTGGCCTCTGTCTTAATAGGAGCTTGCTTAACACGGGGAGGTCTTGTGGCCATTTTCCTTGCTGAGAGTTGTTTGCCGTCCAGCACTTGAACAGCTGTTCGAGCTGTAAAGGACAGGAGAGACCATCTACCCTGGTCCCTGTTTGACTCATAAGGCCCAGAAAGGAGACACATGGTGCTCATGGTGCTTTGACCACTTAGAGCTATGGGCAAGTCATGTGACCCTGGGTCCATGCACCTTCCTGGAGTGGTGAGTGGGGGCGGGGATCCTGCCTCTGACTTCAGAAGGAGCCCATGACCCCCCCTCACTATAGGATGTCTCTTCACTTGCCACCCCAGAGACCACAGGTGTCCAGTTATCCTTGTCTGCCCACCCGTCCCCCTCTCCATATGCTCATTTACTCTCTTGTGAATAGAGAAGTTACTTCGCCAGGGCAGTAATTGTGCCAGGAGACTTTTTTCTCCCCAGGAGTAGGGCTGGGCTGATACTGCTGATGTTAGGTGTTAAGCCTGCAGGTTGTGGTGTTTAAGTCACCTGACACTTTAAAAAGCCTCCCTCCGCCAGTTCTGCTCCTCGTTGACAACCGTGCACTTTACTTAAATGCGGCCTTGCTTTACCAGCGGAGCGCCCCGCTAAGGGTCCTCTCCATTCCTTGTACAATGACTAGAATGGATGGTCAGGCCCATGGTGATGAGTATCACATCAGATCTTCATATGTCATTATGGCTCAGTAAGGTATTGATGTTGATATTCCTGAGAAACATTCCTTAGCCAGGACTCCCAGCACCTG